TATTTTGTATGATCAGTGATCGGTGAAAATGCATTTTTCAAGGTATCTCTGCATCCTCTAAGACTATAGACACAAACTGAGGTTAACATAGATCAGACAGGAATAATGTCATCATGATACCATGTAGTGGAGATACAATCTACAGGTTATTTCGATGAACCTTTCATGATCTATCTAATAATTCGTAAAATCTCTGTCTGTGGATCGCCTGTCTCAAAACATACTGATCAGCTTCATACTTGGCATGTGTATTGTTAAATGCAACATTTAAACAGCATCTGTTTTGGGTGACCACTGCTGATATACTACAACCCTCAAGTTGATGCAAACTGTTGATTTGCCTCACTCTGTGCTTACATATACACACATACAGGAAATGCTTTGGTTTCCTGTGTATGAAATTCAGTAGTTCATTTACTCTCTAAGTGTTGAGCAGTCTTGTGAATAGAGCTATGTTCCTGCTTTACCCATTAGAAGGATTTTCCAGTGCATGCAGGGAACTTGTGTCAAAGGATGACGCCTTTCAGCTGTAGGTACAACCCCAGGTTTCATACTTAGTATCCTGTTGCTTTAATATCATATGCAATGCACTAAAACTCTGTTAGTATCTTTGACTGTTTATAATTTCTAATCCATTATGTTCTGAAGAAGATGCACGTCCCCAAAATTCTGGTGATGCAGAGGGAAAATGTTCAAGGCAGCTCTCTGGCATAAATCATGTTGGGTTGATGCTAAAAAGTTAGTTTGATGCGTTGCATGTAAACTGTTCTTCCTGCTGCAGCTGCTTCATTGTGTAAATATGTGATGTTATAATTTATTTTAATTGTTTTTCAGTGAGCGGAGGAATATTTAGATAATGGAGACAAATGATTGTTCTGTTTTGATGGACCTTATTATTTCTATATTTCTTCTATACGTCTTAAAAGCCAATTTAAAGTTTACTTTTCTGTGAAATCGCACCAATACACAATATTTGTATTGCGTCTCTATAATACAGTGATCTTATTATTTTAGGATGCAGATTTTGCATAGTTGACTCATTTACTATAATTTGAAACTAAAAGATGTTAAACTTACTAATTCAGCCTTAAACAGTGGCTGATTTGTACATATGTGCCCAGGTGGGGTTTTTTCAGTCACTGAGGTGATACTAGTAGGTTTAGAGATAAACAGGATATGCAACTCTCTTGATGTGGTTAAACAGTGAAAACATTTGAGACCTGAGCTCTTAGAAGCTCTAGCACCTTTGCTGCGGTGATGTGCTGCTTTCTCGTAAATCATGGCCGCAATAAGAACCAGAGCCCTTTTATTTCTGCCATTTTGACTGACATCTATGGTGACTTCTACAGGGTTATATGAACAAATAAATCTTGCAATTATGGAAAAATTTGGATGGGATAAATCAGCACTCATTGTTTGTTTGTTTTTTCAGTAGTAGTCAGTATATTTAGTAACCATAATGAACTCGGTGTACATTACAAGTGGAAGGAACCAAAGGCTGCAGAAGTGTTTTTCCAATTATCTCCCATTCCCAGTATTCCTGATTAAGATTTACTTTCAACTAGAAGGAAAATCTCTCCATGTCAAAGCAGTGTTAACATTTAATTATCTTGATGGTAGCAGTCTGCAATGTTCTAATTTGTTCTGCCACAGTTTAATGATGAGCCCCCTCAAAAACTTTGACATTTCTAAAAGTAACATAACAGATTTCTAACTTGGTGTTTTGCTCCATTGCTGCATTGTATATCTATGTGCAGCGCTATTTGCTGCATGTTTGTGCAATCATCCACCAAGTTGTTGTCCACACAGACAATCAGACCTCATAGTTTCAGTTGCAGTTACTGTTTCTCTCTCAAGCAGAACAGGAAATCTACATTTGTGTACGTATACCCCCACCACTGTCATAGATTAAATCAATTATGTAAGAACTGCTGCAGGAAAATTCCTGGATCTGGATCTGCACCACAGTTTAATGGGTTCTTCCCTGACACATACAGCGTCCTTCCACCAAGCTTTGTGGTAATCTGTCTAGTAGTTTTTGATTAATCCTGATTACCACCAAATAAACTTAGATAAAAATATAACCTCCATAAAAATGCCTGGATTTGCACCAAAATGTAAGAGGTTTTCCGCAGGTTGAGACCCAACCTCTCCACCAAGTTTGTTTGAAATCAGTGATCATTGTTTTTTTGGTAACAACTGACAAAACAGTGAAACCATAACAACCATAACCTCAATGGAAGAGCTAACCTGTCTACTTTCATTGACAAGTCAACTTTTCCTTTTGGCACATATAGGTGTCATCATGGTGGGACTTAAATGACTAGAAAGTGACTTCACTATGACTTAATTTTCCACTCAGGCTTCTTATGGATAGCTCGACTAGTTTATTTGCCCCAATATCGAGGAAGTCGAGCCGCCTACCGAGGACACACACTTATTCTTCCCACACATTAATTACATTACTGCTAAAGTTAAGAGGGGAACTGTAGCTCTAACAAAATTATTAAAAAATAAGTAAAGTATAATTGTATGAAGAGTAAATGCAGGAAGACAAATCACTCAGTTGAAATAAGTTTTATGTTTGTTTAATATTTCTTCGTTCATTAAGTTATACATTCAGGCCTATGGCACCAACACACAGCATATTATAGACAATAAATATATAGATATTCAGAGCTGTACTGGAGCTTACATTACATAACATTCTCATTTTAAATAAACCGAGAACTTTAACATTTATTTCACAGCAGTTATGTGGTAAAATGATAAAAAGAATAATTGTAACAATAAATAAAAATAAAACTCAAAATATTCAATATGAATAGTCCCCTTATCCCCATATTGTTTTTTTAATGCAGATATGGTAGAGCAGTGCTCAACATCATAACAAATAGTATGATTAAAAACCAAGATATACCTGAGATCATCCCGCTCAACATGTGCAGATACTCGAATACTTTTACTTTTGCTTCGGAGTCATTGGCTGGCTCTCATATATCCGGGATGAATTTTAGTAATATAATTTTTTCAGTGCAGCTTATGGAGAAGCTTTGCATGGTTGGGCTGATTTCTCGAGCTGAAGTAAAGATTCCACTTGGTCCAGAAAATCACTGAAACCAGTTTGAGGCCATTTCTCACATGTACATTCTGCGGAGGTCGTTGGTGCCTGGGGTGAAAACAACCATTCAGTTAAGTCCATTTGAGCAAATTTCAGGTTTTGTTTTTTGGCAATTCTAAATACTTACAGGGTCTTTTTCTTCTGTCTTGAGTTCGAAGAATTCGATAGCTTGAAGTACGTATGTCATAAGGCCATCGCATTCCGGCCTGACTGTTCCTTTCAGTTCTCTCATGACACAGTCCATTGCTGCGGGAATGCATTCTACCTATGTTATAGAGAGAGAGATGTTTCAGCTTCCTTTTTGCTGTGTGGACTGAGGCAGATTTTGCGGCTCTATGCAGTGAAGTCGGTGTCACAACTGTCTCAACACCTGACAAGCTCATTTCCTGTAGTAGAAGACCTTCACATGTGGTTTACAAAAGCTGAACTATAAACCCTGAAGCTTCAGCATTAATGCTGCAGGAAAAAACCCCAACATGGCTTTTCTTTTTTTTTCTTTTTTATTCTGACCTAATGTTCACAAACACACGAATCGTTATCAACTTTACTACATTAAATGCATCGTGCCATATTCCATTGTTGCATGCGTCTTGTGTTGCTGGGAATGTTTTATTCCATTTTAAGGAACTGTAAATCTAAATCATGATACAATAAAATACGTCCTTACCTTCACATTTGTTGGAGCGTAGAATTTAGAATCTTTTAGCTGTAGAGGCAGAAGAAAACATTAGTTAGTCTAAAGCAATTGGTAGAAACTTGAAAAATATATGACATTTGGCTTGAAATGTCTTACACATGTGACATTTGTCCGTATGAAACCGATACTGGCATCCTCTATGGGTAAACATCTGGCTTGGAGACAAAGAAAAAAAGCAGCAATCTGAAAGAGAATCCCAATAAAGTGCTCCATGTTCAGCTTCAAGGTTTGTCAGTGTGATAAGGAAGTTGTTTAGAGCAGGTGTTGTGTTGGTATACTTGTGTGCTCTGTGCTGCATCAAATTTATATACTGAAGCTGTGGGTTGGAAGCCGTCACTTTTATTACTGCATACAGTATTGTTTTTCCTTTAAGATGACTCTTTGGAAATTTTTTTTTTTTTTTTTTCTGGTTCAACATGGTAAAATCCCTCCAGTGGCCTGTTGTAGCAGAACATGCACCTCCTTGTGTGAAAGTAGGTTGACTGCCCTTAGTTTGGCTTAGAAGCCTTTACATTTAATTTGGTCATAAACATATAAAAAATATGA